ATTGAATTATGTCCCCCCAAAAATGTGTGTATCAATTTGGCTGGGCCATGATTCCCAGTATTGTATGGTTGTCTACCATTTTATCATCTGATGTGATTTCCGTATATGTTATAAATGCTCACTATGATGTAATAAGATGGATTAGCAGCAGTTATATTGATGAGGTCTACAAGACTAGATAATGTCTTAAGCCAATCTCTTTTGAGATATAAAAGAGAGGAGTGAGCAGAGAGACATGGGAACCTCATACCACCAAGAAAGCAGTGCCGGGAGCAGAGCACGTCCTTTGGACCTGAGGTTCCTGCACTGAGATGCTCCCAAACCAAGGGAAGACTGATGCATCACAAGGACCTTCCTCCAGAGCCAACAGAGAGGAAAGCCTTCCCCTGGAGCTAATGCCTTGAATTTGGACTTGTAGCCTACTAGACTGTGAGAGAATAAATTTCTCTCTGTTAAAAGCCATCCACTTGTGGTATTTTTGTTACAGCAACACTAGATGACTAAGACAGCAGAGAATACCAGAAAGATGTTTATGTGTGTTTTATTGACTATGCAAAGGCATTCGACTGTGTGGATCATAACAAATTATAGATAACATTGCAAAGAGTGGGGATTCCAGAACACAAAAACATAATAAGTAGGTAAGTTCTAGATCTGCACTGTCCAATACAGTAACTACATACTACTCACACGGACCTATTTAAATTAAGTAGAATTAAAAACTCACATCCACTGTACATGTGAAGACGGTAAAAGTAGCAACTGTTTTGTTACCTATATAATTAAACATAGCTACATGTGGCTTTGTTGTTGTTGGGTGCAATTGAGTCAGTTATGACCCATAGCATCCCTATATACAAAAAGAACAAAACGCTGCTGGGTGTTGTGCCATCTTCACAATCGTTGCTGTGTTTGAGCCCATTGTTGCAACCACTGTGTCAATCCATCTTGTTGAGGGTCTCCTTTTTTCGCTGACCCCCTACTTTACCAAGCCTGATGTCCTTCTTCAGGGACTGGTCCCTCCTGACAACTTGTCCAAAGTATGTGAGATGAAGTTTCGCCATCCTCACTTCTGGAGCATTCTGGCTGTACTTCTTCCAGGACAGATTTGTTTGTTTTTCTGGCAGTCCATGGTATATTCAATATTCTTTGCTAATGCCATAATTCAAAGGCGTTAATTCTTTGGTCTTCCTTATTCATTGTCTGGCTTTCACATGCATATAAGGTGATTGAAAATACCATGGCTTGGGTCAGGCGCACCTTAGTCTTCAAGGTGACATTTTTGCTTTTCAACACTTTAAAGAGGTCTTTTGCAGCAGATTTGCCCAATGCAATGCATCCTTTGATTTCTTGACTGTTGCTTCC